AAACAACTTTGGCCTCCCTGCAGAGGTCCAAAATGGTCTACAATCAAGGTCAACTGGGCCTTCCTCCACGGACCCCCTGTGCGGCGTTCAAGCGACGAGGGTCCCAAGCCAAAATTAAAGCCTTGCATGGTGGCGTCAGGCAAGAGAAGGTCAGTCGTCGGCGATGTAGATCCTTGCCACACGGTGGCTTCCCCAACGACCTTTAAGGAGGGCCAACTCCATTGACCCTGTTGATCCTGCAGGATCCAAGTAGCGCCACCGCGCCGCATAGAGTATGGGCGAAAGCCCAGATCTTGGATCTTGAATCGTCTCAAGTAATACGTCGAAGTGGGAACGGAAGGCCTGTGCCGAAAACGACCATAAAGGTTGGGACAGCGCGCCTCTGGCAGCAAGCACGTCCCTCACTGTTTCACAAATAAGGATGGTAAAGGAGTCCGATGTTGTCACCATTTCATCAGCAGCGTTGCGCTTTCCTGTCTTGGTAGATTTAAGAGACACAACAACCTGCTGACTGTTCACCATGAGGTCAGTTCCTTTCAAGGCAAGCAGTTCGCCGGTGCGAAGTAAAGCAAAGAAACCTAAACAGAGTAGACACCCAAAGAAAATATCAGTGTGTGAAATGGCATAGTGCGCAAGACTGAGAATGATCTCCTTTGTGATGGGCGGTGCCCTGGCAGGCCACTCCAACTTACGCCAAGCGGCGAAGAGTTTCCAAGCAGTTGGGATCTTACGCTTAGTGTATGGTTCGAAGAAATGCAGACCTGATAAGGCATTGCCAACAGTATACAATGATTTGCCATCTTCCCAAGCATCTTCAACCCACTGCGCACAGGCTGCATCCAGCTCACTTTCATTCGCCGCCTCCTCGATATAGGGCATTAATAGTTTCAAAGCAATGAAGTAGGCAATTCGAGTTCGCACGGTCACTGCAGCGTCTCTAAGAGAGATGCCTTCCCGCGCTGTCCTCCTCTCTCGACGGGTTTTCCGGTGAAAGACCTTAACGCCTACTCTCGCCATCCGTAGGGTTCTCTGTGCTTTCTACATGGGCACTACTGGACCGACCTTTTGCGACGACGCTGATGGAGACATACGAATCACTGAGGTGAAACACACGCTGTTGCGACCAACGTTCAGATCGGATTCCTCGCAACACACTGAGAAGAACTGCTTTGAGTTCCAACTGATTAATATTCTGTGGCTTGGGCCAACGCACACGAAAACTGCGATTCCACTTCCACCAGGCTGCCGCAATCGACTGCCTGCGAAATGCCCTGGGGTTGACCAACTGACCAGTGACCACTCGGACATCGCTTTCTGTGAAATTCGTGCGTGCTAACAACACCAAGTTAAGGTCTCGAACTTGAAGGTTTCCCTGTGTCTCAGCCACCTGCTGACACCCATATTGCAAACTCCAAGCGAGAAGAGCACGAAGACGGAGGTTCGCTCTAAACCCGGGGGCCAAAGCCATTCGTTGTGCAAGATGATGAAAGTGAACCCGGGGAAGCCTGTTTTTGCAGAGGGCAGCTCCTACCACAACAAATGAATACATGCTGAATGCATCTCCTAAAAGGGAACACTTTTCCCTTTCATACCCCGCGGCATCGGCCTTGATCTTATTGGCGCTCCAAGCTAGATCACAATGCTGAAAACCATACCCCATCAACAGACACCTCTCTTGGCTATTCGTCAGGCGCCAGCTGTTACCCTTCCATAGCAAGAACTCATCACGGAACTGATAAGGTGGGTAAATATATCCCGAGAGCGCCCATCTAGCAAAACAATCACTATCAGCACGGTGAATACCAGCCGGCAGAACAGGGGGTTTATCCTTCCAAACAGCCATGCAGGTTGGAAATGCTTTGGCTTCTTGTTCTCCAGGCCGAGAGAAACCTCCTGAAATCCACATGACCTTGTTCAACAAATTCTACAGAACCAGCAATGTCCTCTGTCGTCCAACACAGTCGGGGTCGACGTAAGGGCGCTGCCTCAACAGGATCTAAGAAATAGGGATCACATCCCATATAGGCCGAGATCTCCTGAGCAGCCGTCTCATCCATTGATGCGACGTTCGTGGCAGCCACTTTGACAGTCACCCTTGATGGGAAACATTCGACTATCAGTTCCCAAATTCTGAGGAATTCAAAGAACAATGAACTTTCATCCCCTGCCAAGTTCCTCCGGTATGCTCGTGCTGAGCTTAAATCTCTACATGGAAAGCCTCCCCACAGGTGAACCTCTTCAACCGTGTGGAAATCTTTTGCCCATGAATTCACGATCTCCGGGGAAATGGCCTTTACGTCACGAAGGATTTGTGCAGCCGGCCACCTTCGACTAACAATGCGATTAGCAGGGGCATGAACATCAACAGCGACCAACCCTTGAGGTAGAATGTCTAACAAGTCATAGATTCGGAAGGTACCTCCTATGCCACTGAAACAACCAAGATGGGGGCTGTGCCCAATGTCCTGCTTGAAATGTGGCTGGACATAACAAAGTCTTTTCCTTGAGGTGAATGCTCCTTGGCATACATAACCTACCGCACCTGCTCTCTCTGATGCATCGCCGCACCAAATGGTGTCAGTTACTTCAGCACCAAAATAGGTGTGCAGCAAAGGAACTGCACCCATGATCAAGAAAAATTCCCTCTTCATCAGAAGAGACAATATTTCTCGGTCATCCGTCTTATTAATGAAGGCCCAAACCTTGTCCAAAAAGCTCATCCCGGGTCTTCGGAATTGCAACACGTGAATCCATCGTCCAGCCAAGACTTGGACCATCTTCTTGGTGACCGGCTTCTGGGCGATCACCCAAAGTGATGCTTGAATCAATTTGCAAAACCGCTGTGGGGATGCTCCAATCATTCCTAAACTTCCCTGCAAGAGCGGCCCCAACTCCTCCGTCTCTTCACTTTTGCTAACCCTCTTCTTTTCAGAAGACAGGATCCCATGCTTCTTCCAAGTCTGCTCACAGACTGCATGGACTTCATCTCCTCCTTTTGAAGAGGCCCCAATTGCACGTTTTCACCTCCCATGAGGTTGTCCAAGTATACCTGCCAAAAACAACGATCTTCTGCTAGACTTTGCTTGGCTGCCTGAGTCAATGCTGTAGGGACTGGTTGCCCGCGTCGCACCTGTCCTTGCCACAAGATGGTTTCAGACACTTCTTGCATGAGGGATACAGAACTGTGCATTCCCATAGGGAGCACACGACAAGCAAGGGTACATTGGACCCCAGCTTTCATATTTATCTGCTCTCCCATGCATTCCACGTTGAAACCTAGAAAGGGCAACCACGCTCGTGGCAACTCAAACAAGTAAAATGCCGACGAAATGTCCGATTGATAAGAATGGAAACCTTCTTGTCCCTCCAAAAGTGCAGCCTGCCAAGCCGTGATTGCAGGCAGCCCTTCCACTGCCCCCCGAATCTGACTCATAACAGAATTTGTGGCAAAATCGGCCTCCCGTCCGCCAAACACGACGGCTTTTTGACCCCAAAAAGTCCATTGAGAACCCTGGTACCTTCCACCTCAACAATGCACGAAGAATCGACCCACTCACAAATTCCTCAACAAGAACCTCACAAACCTTCAATTTTTCTCCTTTGCCGAAGTGTGTTGTTCCCGGAACCTTTGGCTTTGGGGGAGAGAAAGTGCTTTGCAACAATTCCTCAGGATGTTCCAGAATATCACGGGTGGCCTCAGAAACCAATTCAACCAGTTTGATCGAACCACCATGGCCTCTAAGAGAAGGGCCTCACAGACCTCTGTTTCTTCCCCACTATAGTCCACTTTCGCAGCCCTCAAATCTTCCGCAGTCTTTTCAAACGGTGGAAAGGCGCCACGCTGCAAGAGAGATCCCTCTGTACAAATGACCTGGCGGTGTCCGCTCCTCTTCTCTCCGGCGCTGACCAAGCCCCAGCTACCAACGGTCTTGCATGACCAGCCAGGCTATTCGTGGCATTGAGCGCAAGGAACACCCCCAGGCTTCTTCAGCCCATTGGGTGGAAAATTCCTCCCCAGCAACCTCATCCAAGCTGGCACAACTCAAAGCCTCCAACAAACTTCTCAAGTCTCCTATCCTCATTGGAAACGAAGCGGCTCGTTTTGGCCCTTCGCAGCCGGTTGCGGTCAATCTCTTCTCAAAAATCACACAACTAAGCCAGCGCCAAGCGTCACGGCAATCAGCTCTCATGCAATGACAAAGCATCCAAGCCAGCAAGGTTCCAGCATTCTTCAAATCACGAATACTGCGCCCCACTGCCAAACAAATGTGCTGTCCTGTTTCGAATTCAATTTCCGACCAAGCCAACGGTGCCCGTGAAGCGACATCCCTCAAACTTCCTCTGAAAGGCTGGCTCCTCACCAACACCAGCGGCCTCTGTGCTATCATCTCTTCAAACTGGCGCGACTTGCCTCTCCAGGGCTTATATCGTCGCAGCCTCACCTCTCACTTCTTCTCGTCCTCTGCCTGAGCATGAGTCTCCTTCCACTTTGCCTTGCTTTTTCCTTCTCGCTCTGCCCATCCTCCCTTCTCTTTTCCTTTTCCTCCCTTCTTGGTCTTTCCTTTTTCTTTCTCCTGCTGCCAACCTCCTTTTCCTCCACTGTACCAACTTCGCGACCATCCCTTGCTTGGGACTCAAGCATCTGGTGCCTCGGCTTTGAACGTGGCTTTCGCGTGCTTGCGTGCCTCAAGGAGGATAGCTGGGGTTGTGGCACTCTGCTCTTCGGGCAGTATTTTGCCTGGCTCCAGGACTGATCCACTTCGACCAAAGCTGACTGGTCCAATGCTGCCTCCGCCTTCTGAACTAGCAGTCTCAGCACCGAGCCAGGGCTGGCTCGAGATCTCTTTCTCAACGGCGCTTCGAATTGCTCTTCGCTCGACTCCTGGGTACTGTAGGTCCCCTCTGAGCTCGTTCCTGAGCCCTGACCCCATTGATCAGTCTTCGCTTCTTTTTCTTTTCTCTCTCTTCCCCTCTTTTTCTTCTTCTTCTTGCCACCGCTCGATCTGCTCCGATCTCCTTTCCTCGGGAGATCTCCTCCTTCTGGGGTCCGGCCTGTCCTCTTTCCAGCTACTTGATTCAATAACGCGAGAATCTGTTCTCTCTCCCGACTTCTCTTCTCTCGAAGTCTGACTCCCTCGACTGCCTCCTTCTATTCTCTTCTCTCCTGCCAGGAGTTGCGCCCTCTGTATCAACTGAGTCGAGACATCTCTCAAAGAAGAACCTTTTGTATCCTCCTGATCCTTCTTTCTCCTCAATGTCGCTCCCTCGCCAATCTCTTCAAATCCGCCACAAAGCCTGAATCGTCCTCTCTCCCCCAATCGGGATCCTCTCTCTCGTCCTCTTGGTCTCTGATCTGGCTTTCCCCAGTTGAGGGACGTGGAGCTCCTCCTAACCGTACACGCGCCAGATCCAACTTGCGCCTCAGCTCCTCTGTACTCATACCTTCTCTCCGAGGCGCTCCCAAGATGTAGTTCTTCTCCATCTCCTTTCTCCTGGGCAACTTTCTTCCTCCCTCCACTCAAGCCTGATGCACGCTCCTTCAACTCTGAGCCTTCTGCTTGTCCTTTATCTTTGGCCCGCGCAGACGCTGCAGGCCGTTGACGCAGCGCGGGTGCCCGCGGCGCGCGTTCTCCTTGCGACTGTCTCTTCCACCTGGCTTCAACGACTCTCTCCTCCCTGTTGTACCACCGGGGCGCAGCAGGGATCTCGAGGACCTCTGGTCCTCCTGCCCCAAACAAACCTCCTTCTCCTTCTCTGCTCACCCTCTCTTCCTCCTCTCCAGGATCCGGCCTCTCCAACCATCTTCCCACCTGGCGGCGATGCGACGACATGTAATAGGCAGGTGCGAACCCTTCCATGGAGTAGGCTCTGAATTGGGTAACATGTAAGTAGTTCTCCTCTGCCTCTGTACACGGTGTGCTGATACATAGGTGGAGATAACCATCCTTTCGGTTGAATTTCCTGGAGAGGAGTTTGTTGAGTCCGGGGCCGCTGCAACCAACTGATCTCACACGCACTGCCATCCCTCCGTCTCCTGTCAACAAGCGATCCAACACAAGGAGCCCAGCCACGGCATCTGTCCTGGGTTCTACATCTGTTGTGCCCAAATCGACCTCTATGAAGTCTCCACGAAAAAAGTTCACAAGACTCCAATTCAACTGGTCGGTCATCTTCAACAACCCTCCTTCTTGCCATCCCTCAATTGGTCCACTCAACGTGGACATGGTGGAGGTGGTGGAATGTCGCTGAACTTCTTCAGCTCAGCAATGGTTCTCCTTTTGTGAGTCCTGATACTCGGATCACTCCTTTTCCTGTGCACCTGTTAGAGCTAGGAACCCAATGGGAATCCTGGCGATCATCTTGGCTTCGGAGTGTGCTGAAAGAAGGGTTCTCAGCATATTTGGAAGACTCCGTTCAACATGCGAACCCATTCCAAGCGGGATACTAGCTTGAAAACCAATTTCAAATGTCGTTGTCAACGACAACGATGTCTGTAGCTGGCCTGGAACTCGTGCCAAGACATTCAATAATGATTTGAAGTCTTTACCAGGCATGGTCGCATCGCGAATGAGGGTCTTGAAAGAACCCAAATCGGACTCACTGGATTCCACCTGTTGGATTCGAGCGGGGTTCTCCCCCAGTCCCCCTGTGGACTCACATGGTAAAGCCTTTAACCTTGCTGATGATTCTAAATAGAAAAGCTCCAAGATCACAAAAAGGATAACCAGAATAAGCTTTCCAGGAGTCATAAAGGAGAGGTTTGTAGTCCCATCCAGTGAGTGGATGTGACCGGGGCACCCCAAACCACCTATGGATAGCACCCCGACCCTGAGAGCTGGTTGTTGGTTCACGGTTCTTCTCCCAACAACGCCACTCGCTCACTCGCTCGAGGGCTCTGTTCCGCCGAGCCCTCACGAACACCTGAGCCTTCCCCACGTGGCATGATGGTGGCCTTGTGCACCGGATCCTGAGCGAACCGCGGAACTCCGCGACCCCCGCCGACCCAGCGACCGCCGCGGATCGCGGTCGACCGCGATCGGGGCGAGTGGGGCGTTCACCAGCGGGACGGTCACCGACCCGAAAGGACCGGATCTGAAGACCATGGAAACCGCTAGGAGTCACATGGAGGGTTTGGGTGGGTTTTCTTCGTCCCATCCAGGGCGGGCGAAAGTGGATGTGATGTGACAGGGGCACCTCGATAACACCCCGAACTCTGTAACTGCTGGTGAGCAGTGTTTTAGATGACCAACTATTGCAAAAGGGGGTGATTGACCTGTGGGGGGGGTATGGCTTAATCACATAGAGTGTTTTTCTTGTTTGTGTGAAAAAGACATGTGGCGGTTTGACCGGTCGACCAAACGGACAGGCAAGACCAGCTCAGACTTCGATCGACACCCAAGAGCTCTGCGGCGTGCACTCCGCAGCCCGTTGTCCGTTGTAAATGTCAGTGTGCTCGGACACGCAATAGGCGCCAACATGAGTTTTAGGGGTGCCGCCGCAGCGCTGTCGGTCAAGCAACATTGTCACAATTCTTCCTCGTGCTTCCCCAAAGAACACAAAACATGCGAATTTATTGCCACAGTCAAAGGGCTAAACATAGAAAAAGCACATCTTTGGATAGCTTGGGCATTCCCAGATTCAATCAACAAGTCCTTTTCTAGCATGTTCTAGCATCTTGAAACTCAAATGCCTTGTGCCCTGCAGGATTTGGGCGAGGATCCCTTGCTTCAGCACTTTCAGCAGGACCTGCCAATAGGGTCTATCAGCTCGCTTTTGCCGAACACCCCACAAATAAGATGCAGCTCCAGCCCACTTCAATAAAAAATATCAAATAATATAAGGCAGCACATTTTAGCCTACAAACAAAACACACACTACGGAGCCCCGGAGAAGTAGCAAGTACAACTGCGACGACTGCACCAGCAGAACAAGTACCTGCACAACCGAACCCAAAACAGCCGTAGTTAAGATACAACAGAAGGTTTCAGAAGGTGCGGTTAACAAGAAACAAACCTTGTTCAGCAGGACAGCACCACAGCAGTCGCAAAGACCCGCAGCAACGCTGCCATCGATGTGCCCAGTCTTGGCGATCCTTTGCAGGGTGATCTATACCAGGACCCACCGTCAGGGTAGTTAGTAAACACTCCTTACCCTTTAATATCATATGCGATTGGGGTGGTTTCAGGGGCCAATGTATTATAGGCATATATGTCATATTCCAGTGACTCTTCCAGTCCATGGAGTGTGGATAGACAGCCCTTTTGTTGCTCCATGCGATAGACAGCGGTTCCAGCAGTGCCGACGGGTTGGCGTAGAACGCAGAACGGCATATGTATCATATGTGTCGATGTCTCTTTGGTCATATATGCCGTTCTGAACGAGACAAAGGATCATATGGTGGATCAAAGGCATATATCCCTTTGTCCGATCATATGGTGGATCATATAAGTGCCTTCGGTCGATGTCTCTTGCAACTTGGAACCTTCTTCCAGTCCCACTTGTCATGACCTGGGCTGCATCCGTCACGTGTTCCGAATCCCTCCGCTGGGCGCTCGCTGCTGCTCCGGAGTTGCCGATGGAGACCAAGGTGTGCCCCCCTTCGTGGTACCTCGAGTTGTTCTGAAGGTCCGGTGTGGGGGGTAGGTTTAAGTGGACATCATCCTTCCCCTATAGGGATCCAAGTACGTCCTCCAAACCTCAGGTTCGGTATGACTGGACCCGACAATGGCACCTACATAACAGTGTCGAACACATCACCTTCTGAAAAGGTACGACTGGACCCCTAGGGTTCCATCAACGGGGGGGGAGTCCTTCTGCAACATCTTCTATTCTTAGGGGGGGTTGTGACGGGTTGTGCAGCTTATGCTGGGGAAGGCCCATGTGTCTTTGTGTGGGGCCCAGGACATCTAGGTCAGACTCTGCCAGATCATCATGTATGTTTAGGAAGAACTCAGAACCCTGTATATAACAATCCCTAAGGATCCAGTCGTACCCTCTGAGAAGGTGGGACTGGGGTGGGTGCCAGGAGGGTCCAGTCGTACCTTTTGAGGAGGTACGACTGGATCCCTATAACAATCCCAGATATTGAAGCCAGACAGGGCAAACCCTCCAAAGTCAGCCCAGTCCCACCTTCGAAACGAAGGTACGACTGGATCCCTATGGTTAAAAGTTAGTGGGATCCTCGGAATTGCGGTCAACGTCACCCTTCCAGCTTGCGGCTGGCGAAGGCGATTCGGCTGGTGTTTTTCATGCGCTGCGAGCAAGACTCTTCGCAGCTCTTGCGCCACAACTTGAAGTTCATTCAAGGAACTTTGACTTGGCAATTGTGAGCCAGGTTCTTCTGCCTATTGAAATATACCTCCGTGAAGACTCTTGGTTCAAATCCCAAGTGATGATTTATAATATAAGGATTGGCCATAAACAGTCTTGGGGATTTGAGCCAAGAGTTCTGAGGAGGATACATCGACTTGCAGGATGCGGTAGATGGCCATTAACTCAGAGCGATCCAAACTTATCACTGTTGATTGGAGCTGTAGAGTATCATCCAGGTGCCCATTGCTGCCGGGGCTTCTTCCGCAGGCAAACGAACGGGTGGTTCAATGGCAGACATTGGCGGAGTTTGGCAGCCATCTCTGAGTTCAAACGTTGATTCAAGCATAGGCCTTACCTCGCATGCTCTGCTATAGTGCCAGCATCTTCCCTTCCAAGGACCTCTGCATTTCCAGACTGCATTAGTGGCGGGCCTGGAGGCACGTGTCGCATATACTTGCCGGCTGCCCCAGCCCTCATTGACCTCATGTGGGATCTACTACTGGCTGCCCAAGTAGGATCAGTTGTTTCCTCAACTTCATGAATCATTCTGTTCATTCCTGATTGCAGGGAAACGACGTAATTATTTTGTTATATGCCCGCATTAAAACCTGTGTTGAAGGAGAAACACTGAGGCTCTTGAAGGTCATAGGACTCGGGGCCCAAAACCTCATTCTTTATCTCATATATGACCCAGTATATTCAGCAGGAACAAAAACCTTCTCACAATGTCTTATAGAGGAAACTGTATGAAAAGCATCTGGTCCTTCCATGTGGCCATTTCTTGTTATTTGGGTTTCTTGGATAACTCCCAAATATTCTTCAGCGACTTGTGGGCACCCACCCTTGTTCCCACCCTCGGGTCGTCCTACGTCCACCCCACCCCATCCCATCGCCCGAGATGGGTCGGCTCGTGGCGAGATGGGCACGCGGTGAGCTTCTTCTCTTGCTCACTCATGGGGTTCCGCCGCTCTAAGCCTCAACCCGTGACCGCGACCGGACCGGTCGGGCGATTCGTGCGGTCGGCGATTCGTGACGGTCGTGACAAGTGCGAGTGCCAAGAGGTGAAAATCAGCGGACGGGATGAGTTGAAGGGCCCGAACAGATCGATGATCTATATACATATGCCTATGAGTTGAGTATATAGATATGATATCTATACGGGATGAGTTGAGTATATAGATTGTATATAGTATCAGAATAGGTATAGGTACAGGTAATCCGATGATCCTGATATACATAACATACCTATACCATCAGGTTACCACACTCCATGGGACCCGTATGAATTAGACCTGCACCCGACTTCAAAGGTCACCACCTGCCGTAAGTCTCCATTTCAGCCACCAGAACTCGGAGACCTGTTCATCGTCGGGTGCTGGTAGTACGCAGGATATGGGGGAACATCATGGACTTGGTGTACCACTGTGAAACACCCACCCAAACACTCCATATCACTCCATATATGCCATGCCGGACTGCCGATCCAGACAGACCCCCCTGGCAAAAAAACACCCCAGAAAAACCGTTTCTCGGCAGTCCGGACTGGCAGGCCCAGACAGGTCGTTGTCCGGGGTCATTGAGCAGCTTCTTGATGCTTCTTTGCTCCCCTCACATTCACAATCACATCGACATCAACCACCCTCCCACGTGGCACACACGTTCCGGAAGTGCTTCCCCCCGTGCTGTTCGGGCTGCCCGGCCGACCACCACGCGGTCAAAGGCCTCCTCCAAATACTTCGTGGGGATCTGGGCGCGCATATGAGTCGGCCAGCGTCGTGGGGAGGGGGCGAAGCTCCATGGAGCTTGCATGGATGCATGGGCCCTATCCGTTTTGAAACCCAAACCAAACGAATGGGACTGGAAGAGTTACGACCACCTGGATGGGTCGCTTGAAACTGGAGTAAGTAGAGGAATGTATATCTATTCCAATCCCATGCATGGTCTGGGACCTGGGATAGTAAACCAGAGCAGCGTCTTTTGGGTCAAAATCAAGACATCTTCTGAGCAAGGGGTCATTTTCGTGCCATGGGTTCCTTGATGTTTCAATTTCTTCAGCTTTCCTCCACATCTATTCAAATTGATTCAACAAACATGCGATGCAACTCCACTTTCTTAGGTCCGGATTTCATCTGCACTTCCATACAGTCCGTACAGGCTAAGACTTGGCAAAGACTTGAGGCTATCGTTCGTCGGAAGTAGTTACCCTCTCTATCCTTCTCTGCTGATCCGGAACCGGATGGGGATTCACCGAAAATAGGAATCGCCCGAGTCAACTGCTTCTCACAAAGAAAAACATGTCAACCAGGAGTCAGATGAAGTTGGGTGGTCTTGTTCGTCCCATCCAGTGACTGGATGTGACAAGGGCACCCCAAACCTCCATAGATAGCACCCCTTTGTGACTGCTGGAAGAATCATGTTCCTTCCAACTTCCCCTTTATAGTGGTGACAATCGTTCCACGGAGCGAAGAATTTGCACCACGTGATGCCTGCGCAGGCTGTTCCTGCCATTTACATCCTTCTACCGCCAGCCCAGCGAACATTCGATCAACAACAAAAATATGTTAAACTGAATTCAGCTGCCACCCACGCAGCTTGTACACAACGATTTCCGCGGAGAATCAATTAATTATTGTTGGTGCGGCTTGACACTAGCCACAACCTGAAATCAAAAAAACACATGTTAAAACACTGTTCTTTGTCTAGTTGTTGCTCAAAAACACCCTAAGGCCTTGCGCCCGTGTTCCATCCTCCGCTCCCCCCACCCCACCCCGTTCCACCGCCTTCCACCGCACCCGCACTGGGCCCTCCGAACGCACGGCAGATTCTCCGCCGACGAGCGCACCGCGGCGATGTTGAGGATGTTCGCCAGGTCGGCACCTCCCACCGACCGAGAGGATGAGGACGGGGACCAACGGACAACGCGTGGAGCGGCGTGGTAGAGAGGCAGTGGTTTCAGTGTGGTGAAGGCATGGCCCCAACAAGAAGGCATGGTTTTTGCTCTGGCTGCTTGACTGGGGAAGTAAACTTACACCGTTGTTCCTTTTGAGTGGGGTGTCCCCTGGAAAAGACTAGTCAAGTTGACGGGAACGTTTCGTCCACGTGGGCCCCGGAACCCAGGAACGCAGGCCCACGTGGTCAGTGGCCTTTCAAGGTCTGTCGAAAAGTTTCTAAAAAGGATTGAAACCACTGGTGACTTGAATCATATGAATTTTTGCCTATACATTCCTGGACTACTCCAAAGTACCAAAATGGGACATGACACTTGTTAAAAGCTGCTACATGCAACATGTATACCGATTTTGCCGGGGTACCAACGACTCGAGGTTGGGTGGGTGCCATGGGGGTCGGCATAGATGCCTCCAGTCCGGGGGGCCCACTTCCGAGCCATCGGCGCCGATCCAAGGTAACCATGAGGACGTTCTCTTGGGAGTGTAACTTCAATTTGACGGCTCCTCATCCTCCCCTATGGATCCACAGACCTTCTCAGAAGCTAATTGGACCCTCCTGGCGCCTACATAAATACTTCTCAGGTTCGGTGGGAGTGGATCCATAGGGCTCAGTAGGTATGGGACCAAGTCCTTCCGCTGGCACCTAACCCAACCACACTCCGTGTCCGCATCCTACGCCCCCTCCCTAAACGATGCAGCGCCAGCGGCCTGTCATGCCCGCGGTCCGGCGCGCGAGGGTTTTCAGGTCCACCTGCACCGGAGCTGCGCCGAGAGCGGCTTTTGTTGGATTTGCCGGTCCAGGATCTGGAAACCAATAGATCTTCCATCATCTTCCCCAACAAAAAGACAGTTGGGTGAACATGCATAAAAGAAACCAACACCACCGTTTTTGCTGACGATCGAAGACCCACCAAGCTCAGTACAGATGGTCTATGAGTCTATGCATGTCTTCCGCAAAAATTGGGGGGATTCCCCCAGGAACCGGGCCAATACTCCGAGTGATTCCGATTGACGCGCGATGGACCCGCGAAACACCCGAACATCCTTGGATGGGAGTCTATACCAGGACCGACACCGAACTCGAGGTGTCTATAAAGAATTCGTAGGGAAAAAGGTTGGTAAAGATTCTCTGGGGTTTGTTCCAGTTCATTTGGTGAAGATTCCACCCTTCCACCAGCTCCCGCGGGCTCGAACTTCTGGGTTTCAACCATCCATTGGACTGGAAGAATTACATACATGTTGGGTCATTTTCAAGGGGGTTTCATGTAATTATGTAACTCTTCCAGTCCCATGGATGGTCTGGGTTCCTTCAATCTTGGTCCAAAGAAAAATGTGCCAGCAGTTCTATGGACTTGGCTTGCTATCCATGGAGGAGCTTAGGGGTGCGCATTACTCAATCAGAAGGACTAAGCACCACCAACTCGATCCAACTCTTGGAAGAAGCACGGTATTTGTTTTCCTTAAGCTCTCCACCAACCGCTCCATGCAGCACACATCCCACTGACATACCACCGGCCGGCAGCGGCGCGACTCTACAGAAGAGTCAAGCATCCCTATATTTGGAATTGAATTTTTCCATAACAACATGAAGTGTTCCGTTGGCGGTCTAGGCCCGTTGAAACCTGTTCGTCGGTGGAATCGGTTGACCACCAAACATATACCTGAAACCATTCTGAAATCAACACCCAGGACTTGAAGATTCTGCCTTTTCGTCCAGGACCAGCTTGGCGGCATACATCTCCAAGATCTCCTGACTTCGTCCAGCGAAGGGTCCGATGATGTGGTTTCGATGTTGAACATCAGCGGACCCTTTGCCCATAATTTCTCAACCCTTTGCCCGTGCATTCGTCCCATGTCACATATGCTGTGGAGCATGTTTGCAACGTGGATGTAAATCTGTGTGTTCTTCAATTTGATCTTTCTATCACCTCGTTATACGACGGGTTGAGAGGATGCTCGTCGATAGCTCCAATCGTGTCACTATACTACTTCAAGAACAGACGTGCTGCGCTGGTGTCTTCCGCAATCCCATGAAACTGTCACTCCCGTTTGCCGAAGATAGCTCTCTCGTTGCCCGAACGCCCCGCACTGCACAACTTTCTTCTGGTTCCTTCCCCCTTTGCCTTCCCCTTGTAGGGCCCCTGTCCGGCTGTTGGGCGTAAGCCCTGAAATACATGTCTCGGAAGATGTACAAATACTTATGGAACCATGGACCATACATCTGTATGATGCCACAAACAGGAATGAAAACCCAGCAAAAAGCCTAAAAGCATGCAACAGCCATAAAATCTGAATGGAATACCTTCTTGTTCTTCTGCCCTGGTCCAAAAATACTCTGGTTTCTTTCTGCCCGATTCTTGGCTTCTCACTAATTGAACCTTGGATACTCGCGTTCGGTGTTGCCCAAACCGCGTTGCCCAAACCGCGGCACCGGCGCACCGTTCTGCGGCCGGCGCACCGTTCGGCCCTTGAGGTCGGGGATGGGCACGACGATCTGCCGGTCCAAGCGCCCGGGTCGCGTGAGGGCCTACCGACCAGGTGGGTCTGCGGCGAGGGTCGACCGGACGACGGTTGACGGCTCGGACGACGGGTGGCCGCTGGTCCGAGTCGTTAGCGGTTTGGGGTGCTGCGGGTGGCCGCTGGGAGAAGAAGCTTCGGAGGTGCAGCATGTTTTTTTGGGGGAGAGTTCCTGCATGTTGATTGGGGAAGAATCACAAAGAGATTCATGGGATGCAGGATGCATCAGGAAGAGTAGAAATCAAAAAGCTTGGAGATGCATCGAAACCCGGTTTTTCAGCGAGACTCACGAGTCACGCGGTTCACACGAGTCGGGCCGCGTTTACGACGACATAGTTGTCGTCCGACCATTCCCTGACTCCCTCAGTTGTCCCTCCGATGCTGTCCTTCGCCTTCACCTGTTGGAAAGCATAAAGGGAAAGCCAATCTCAAGAAGGTTCAAGGTTATCCACTCATTGCTAACCAAAGGTGCCCTGACCTCTGCAGCATCTGTGGTCACGTCTGACCTCTCAGCACCATGCCTCCTGACCTCTGCGATGCCTGCCTGCCTCGTGACATCGGACCTGCCAGACATCAAACCCGCTCTCCTTCCTGCCTTGTCCAGGGATTCTGGAAAGTTGGTCGCGCAAATCACCACCACGCCTCCGCGTGATTGACGCTGAGGGGGGCACACGTTTTGGACGAGAAGAGAGAAGCCAATCGTCAGAGGTGGAGGGTGGATGGTTGGCAGGTTGCGACCAGAAGTAGCTGCTACTGCAGTGGATTCCATATCGAGCTGATGTTTTTGTTCCAGACATATATCTTTCCAATCCAGAGCAGGGGCAGCCATCGGAAGCCTCAGCTGAGGCCAGGCATGCCTAGGCCAAGAAGAAGCATTCAGTCTTCCCTATACAGATCAGCTTAACTGCAATAACACCACTCAATGAGGCCACTTTGGCCACCAGGGAACCCAGACTGGACCTGGTGGCCCGAAGCAAGCCCGAACCTTGGAGGGCCCGGACTTCTCAGGGAGCTCCGCCCCAAAAGTGGATCCGCTGATCGCCCTTCCGTTCTCCCCGCGTCGGACGCGTCGTCACCTCGACGCAAAAGCGCAACTCACACGACTCTGGACGACGCGTGGCGTGTCACTCCGATCCACTGAACGCGTGGGACTGGAACACATGGCTCACCTCAACCCTATAGCCTTCAAAGACCATGAGAATATGGTGGGCCTGGTCTTGCATAGTGTTTTCACATCCTTGGTAAAACCATATGGTTCTTTGGGACTCAAGGAAGTTAAGCCAAATTTAGCCAATGGTTGGAACGGAATCCGATTGGGCAATGTAAGGTAAACTCTTCCAGTGCCATTCGTCTGGTCACTCGAGCACAACGAAAACACGTGGCCCGGCGCATCGACACCCACTCGGCCCAGACTCGGACCCAGAAAATGACAAACGTGTCACCAACGCGAAAGAGACCCTCCGTTGGTGCAATTCTGATGTGTGTGGGTTCATAGGTTGTTCCATTTCCCTTTGACCAGGTGGTTTCTCCTTACCTGGACCCTCCCAAGTACTCAACAAATGGTTGCAAATCTATTGTTTTCAGGGGTGATGTCCCATTTTCCAACGTACTTTGATACCTTCCCAAAACTATCCCAACCCAATGAAACTGGCATATGTTCTTGTTGCCTACAAATCTCATTACCAACAACAGTGGATGATGATGGTTAGTAAGAAGGCATTTGCAAACATAGTTATATTTTCTTACCAGCTGTTGCTGGCCTGATGGCACATCCTATAAGCCTAAGGTCAAATCCTGCTTTGGCATCTTCGCGTTCCCTCCCTTCGGCTTCTCTCCCTCCCGCAGCCTGTGTTGTTCTCGAAACCATCCATTTCCACCAGGAGCTGATTCAGCGTCATCCTTCCACACCCGCCGTCGATCCGCTGAAGGATTCGATGGATCCGGCTTCGATGCGGATTCCATTCGTTGGACCCGACCTCTTCGCGCCGGACCCGAAGCGAGCCCTTTCTCTTCGCCTTTTTGATTCCATTGGCCATTGGAGATGAGAAGAGACCTGAGGAGAATATAGGGCAGTGATATTCAGTATGCCTGGAATCAACATAGTTGTGGCTTGGGTCATTCTTGAACTATAGCTGAGCAACCTGATGCTGACTGTCGATAGTAAAACCTCTCATAGTGATGGAGATGAAAAACAATTCCGGTAGGAAATTGTGTTCATCAACAGTCTCCATTATCGTTGACCGGCACAAACTAATGCCTTTTCCATCCTTTACCAAAACCCTTCCGAGGCAATCCTTTTTGCCACCATTGAGGCAAGTATTTCTGCCGTAACTCAATACCTGGATCTTCGAAACGGCACAAATAATTGCCTTTTCAGGAAAAAATGCCGTTACGGCGTCTTTTTCCAAAGACGGCGTTTTTTGTTGTGACGAGGCGCACGCCGGCAGAAAGCAAAAAGAAACGGCGTCTTTAAGCGTCCAAACGGCGTCTTTGGGCGTCCAAACGGCGTCTTTCCCCGTCCATGGATTTTGTACAACCCATAAAACGGCATTTTTTTTTTGATTACGGCGTCTTTTCACTAAAAAAATGCCTCCGGCAAAAATTTGTGCCGTTTGAAGATCCAGGTATATCTGCAAAGGCTCAATCCCTTGAAAGTGACAATGCCGTCGGAGAAGTGAAAGCGCCGTTATAAAGGGAAGAATCGCCGTTTTGCTTGATCTACTTGATCAGCCACAAACATATTGTTTTGGTCCGTCCATGCCTTGTGTGAAGCTTGGCTGCTTGCACAATTGCCTTCTCCCTTTTTCATTTGCAAGTAAAGTTAATGGTTTTCAAGGCTCACTGTAGCACTTCTCAAGATGTTATAATCCCTGTCTAAGGTCTCGGTTGACAGCCGGATTCGTTCACATTGACAAGCACCAGCAGTTCCAAAGAGGTGCTATCCATGAAGGAATTCCGGGTGCCCCCAGAACACATCCCACTTTTGAATGGGACGAACCACACCAGCCCGAGATTGAATTAACTCCTGGTGTGTACTTTGAGATTGGGTCTATCCTACTACCTGTAACAGTGGATGATGATGGTCAGTAAAGGCCTTGTTCAAAAATGATGATAATTGTTTACTGACTGTTACAGGTAATACGACAGACCCTACTTTGAGACTCCAAATACTTGTTTCGCGCCATCAGTGCTTTAACTCCCGCAATCCCTTCCCATTGGGCACTGGCGTGCCGACAAGATTCTGGGCGTTTTTTTTCACGGCGTCGTCTGAGGTAAAACCGGTTCTACAAACGGGGTCTGGGCCCCAGGTACTCATCCCAAACACCACCTGTCTGCCATACATTTGCCGATCAGTTGGGGTTGTCCAAAAATCAAAGGGGGTCATTCCAGTATCCCCTAGGGATCCAAGTACCTTCTCACCAATTGATTGGGGACGGTGCCCAAACGTCGGGTCCAGTCGTACCGAACCTGGATCCCAAGGGCCCGGGGTCATCCAATCCACCGGTCTTCCTTCCCAAACTGGAATCGGACTGGAATCGGACTGCCGCCCCATTGATCCCAGGTCAACCACCCCGGGTTGGCAGTCCGCAGTCTCAGACAGGTTGTGTTGGGGTTCCAAATGCGACACCTCCGGCCTCACCGCGGTGTTGTCGCGGTTGGAGCGCTTGGACCCGACGGCGTCGATCTCGTCGATGAAGACGATGCAGGGCGCATGCTTCCGAGCCTGAATGAGCAGTCGGAGGTCAACCAAAGACAACAACAACACCAACAACCAACAACATCAACAACAACCAACAACAGCAACAAACAAGAGCAACAACAACAACAACCAACAACAACCAACAACAACAACAACAACAACAACCACCACCACCACCAACAAATGAATACAACAACAATAACAACAAACACCAAAACAACGACCACAACAACAAAAAAAGCCGGCAACAGCAACAACACCAACAGCAACAACAACAAAAAAGAAAAAACAACCAACAACAAAAAACCAACAGCCAACAAGAACAAGAACAACAACAACAACAAGGCACAAACACAACCCAACAACAACAACAGCAACAACAACAACAACAACAACCAAACAACAACAACAACAACAACAACAACCACAACAACAACAACAACA